CTGCTGCCTGTCGTCCCTGCGCACGGAGCCGGTGTGCGTCCCTCGCGCGGATTGGCTCTCTGCTGCGCTGTCTGACGTCGCTCGTCGTCCGGGCGCACTCTCGTTCGCTTGCGGCTGTTCGCTCGATCGCTGGTCTATGTCGTCGTGCCACGCGGCGCCGGCCGGCGCCGCGGGGGCCGGGGAGTGTGTCCTGACTCTGTCTGATGTGTCTGCACTCTGTCTGAAGTGTGTCTGCACTCTGTCATGAATGTATTCTGGACTCCTGGTCCTGATGTTGTCTGAGCTCTGGTCTGAACTGTGCTCTGCCTCTGTCTGACTCTGTGCTGATGTGTCTGATGGTGCTCTGGGACATCGTTGGTACTAGAGAAGGTTTCAGTGTGTTGGATGGTGTCCTTGATGTGTTTGCTGTCGCTCCACGCGCACGCGCAGCCCAACTGGCGGCCTCGCGGAAGCTTCTGGGGCAGCGCGGGCCTTCCGGACCGGCGGCGCCGTGTTTCGTCTGTTAGCATGCAGACACCGCCGGGAGCTGCCTCAGACAAGGTCCAGCCTTTGACCCCCACGCAGCAGTCCGCGCACCCAGCAAGCGTGGAGAGCTGTTAACTCACATGCTGCACACAAGAGTAAAGGTGGAAGGACCGACGCCAGTAATGTATACCGATGCATTCTGTCCGTTTCCAGGAGCTGAGTGTGCCGTTGGAGGTGTGATATATCTTCAGTCCTGCCTGAAGAACATTGTGCCCGAAGGACAATCGTCCAGTAAGTTACCGGCTGCCTGGAGACACAATGGAAGCCGAAAGCTCTCCACCCTCTTCCATGGAAGGCTACACTGCCGGCGCTGGAGTGCTCGCTTTTTATGTTTTCTGTTCCACTGGAAGTCATCGGTCCGGCTGGCGTGCTAATCAATCGCCTTCATCTTAATGGAATTTACAAGTACACATGTATCCTATATTCCTACTCAGCTGTTCTAAACTGCTAAAGGCTCAAAACACAGACCACGAGCCACAACAGGATACTCCGTGGCACCCTGTCCATTCGACGATCGCAATCATGTTAACCAGTTTACTGTCGCTTTCTCCTGTCCCTCTGCCTCAACCCCGCCTCGTGTCTTAGTCTCCCACTCCACCAGACCTGAGCTTTGAGCCCCGCTGTAACATCAGCTGGGTCCTCCCACTCCTCCCAAGACAGAGTCAGACAGAGTCAGACAGAGTCAGACACATCAGACGGACGGAGACGCTGCGTGCAATCAAACCAACATCCGACTCACAGCGGCTGGGGGGGCTGATGTCCATGACAGACAGGGTGGGAGTTGGGTTGGGATTGGGTTCGATGTCGCTGCCCCTCCGCGGCCTCCTGGCGGGCCCCGGGGCCTCCTCCAGGTCTGGGGTGAAAACGCTGCTTCCGCTGCTGGTGCTGGGCGACTGCTCGGTCGGGCTGAAGCTGACCGGCGAGCGGAAGCCCTGGACCTGCGTTCGCCGAGCCCGAGGAAAGGTCTTCCTCCCTGGAGAGGAACAGAGGTCTGAACCGTGCAGCCGCAGGGCAAAGGAAGAAAACTCACATTATGAAGGAACAACTACCCACCATCACTGTAATCCTGAAGGCCGAAGGGAATGCCGTATCGCCGAGGGTACGTTCCACCTTTACCCGACTTCTCAAAAACTGGGATGTCGTACTCTAGAGAGGAAGAGGAGGCAGAGGAAGAAGGCAGAACGATGGAGGATGGAAGTTAATTATGGACAGCTTGAGTGTGGGAGAGAGTATTGACACATTTGATGACAGTTTTATTTTTTATTCCTCACTTTAAACAATCGAAGTTCCTGGAACATTCATTTGTCACAGTTCAAATCAAGTAGAATTGATTTTATTTGACTGAAAATTCATCTCCTAGAAAGTTAAGGTGCACATACAAATAACAATGTGTATGTATGATGCACGTAGATATCCCGAATAGATCGCTTCAAGCTAAACTTGAAATCTGACGTAAACATCTGGACTGAGCAGGGAGCTGAAAGCAACAGTGTGTGCGGTAAAGCCACGTCTGTCACGTTTCAGACTAAACACACACGCAGGTTTAGGCAATACAATTAAACATCCAGGAGCACACCGATTATTTCCAGGATATTTGGTCATTTGAAGCATTTTCCAGGTGTTTCCATGACTGGAGACTGAATCTCTCATTTCCAGAATGCGTTTGTTGAGTCACTTTATCTTTTTTATTAATCAGCTATTAAAACGTTTTCACACATTTACCTGGGAAGTCCTGGTGGTTGTCTGGGTAGCTCTGTGCTCGGGGCATCCTGGACTTCGGGTAGTCACTACAATATAAAATATTAGTAGTTTAATTTTGCAGTTTTGTTACAAATGACACGACTGTCATCAGTATGTCCTGTTTGTGTTGTTCCCACAGTGAAGCACATTGTCATAGAAGAACAAAACAAACATTTGTCTGCTAAAGAATTTTCTTTAAGAGAAGAGCTTTATTTTGTAGGAACATATAACTAATCTCATCATATCAAATGGCTCTCGTCCCACAGCTGAGCTTATGTGATGTTTCCTTAAGTACACTGTCGTATGAATAAGACACTGGTCCTGACCTGTCCAGTGGGCTGTCTAAAGAGGGACAACTTCCAGACGCTGAGTTTTCTGGACTGCTCATGGACAGCGGGTCCAGCATCTAAAGAGAAGAAGATTAAAATAAAAAACACTATCCAATCAGCACAGGACTCTCTAAGCCCTCCTTTTCAAAAGCACGGTTTCCAAATAAAGTAGCTGATCCAGCGTCACAGCCACCAGCCACAACAGTGACAAGAACACAACATATTGATCCATAATGATAGATTGAGCACACACCTGGTCCATGCTCTCTGGAATGAACTCTCCCTCGCTGTTGATGCTGGTGAAGGAGCCATTCCTCGCCACCTGCTGGAGCGCGTCGGGAATATATCCTGGAGGAGGCGAGCTGCGGTCTGTCGAATGGGAGCCTGAGGTCGGTGACACAGAGGAGAGAGATTCTTAAGAAGGAAACACCAAGACTAAATGTTTTACACTTATTTGACTTTGATTCCAATATCTGAGCTTCATGTCGGGGCGTCGGGATATAAACGACTTGTGCAGGAGTTTTTTCACCTATCAAAGCCAGCATACTCTTCTTGTCTGCGACCCTGAACCCCGTGTTGTCCAGCTCCTCGTGGGACGGCAGGAGGTCCATATTGGAGGAAGAGTTCTGCAAAAAGAAAACATTACATTGAGTCTGGTCATTACAAAAGAATAAAAACAACTGCTCTCAACATTTCTGTGTCTTTAACTCAAATCCACAGAGATGTGAAGAACGTGGGAGCTGCTGACCTGAGAGGAGAACTGGAGCACCAGGAGGATCTTCAGGCTCTTCATGTGAACGCTGCGATCCAGCAGCTCCACGGCCTTGTCCAGGTCATCCTGAGTGGTCAGTGGAATCACCAACTGGGAGAAAAAACAACTTTGGGTAGATATGCGTTCAATATCAGTATTCAGAAACGTGCAGGCCCGTGAAGTCTTTAGAGTCACACCTCATTGTTGGTGTAGTGAAGGTCCATCGTCTGACCAAAAGCCACTTTTGCTTTCGCCTTCAGGTCGTCCAGCTTGACCGGTCGAGGGAACTGCAAGATCCTACAGAGAGGAGAAGGGTCAGAGGTCAAGAGGGCACGGCTCCAGGCCTGCACTGACAACATGAGAGTGGAGAACCTGGTCCAAGGCTCACCTCTTCTCCCCTTTGAACTCGAACTTCACTCTGACATCGTTCTGTTGAAAGACATTGAAACGGTCTCAATGAAATAAAAGGTTTCAATAAGATGTATCTTTAGAATTTAATCTTTTAAATAGAGATTGTTTGACTTTGGAGCACTCTGGTGTTACTGGAAGCGTTTGGATCACACCGGTGGGAAACATCACTACAATCTCAGTCTACAAATGTAATACTGATAATATTAGTGTAGACTAATCTTTACCTGCAACTGAGCATCATTAACAGGTTCAAACACAATGAATAGTGTACGATCGCTTTAATACGCACATCGGATCAGGAAATGATTGAACACCAGTCACAGAATAATGTCCACGGACCAAAGGAAGAACCAGAACATCTCAGCGTGTCGGCCCTGTTTTCTGTTGATCACACTGATCACTTCGAGCCGAGCAGTTACCTGGTTCTTGGGCGAGGAGGCTTTGGGTTTGCCCAGGTCTGTCAGGAACGTGGCAGGACGGCTGGAGCGGTGCAGTTCGGCCAGGTCCTGCATGATCGAGTTCAGCGCCTCCTGCTCATCTGAGAAAGCACAAGATTTCAGTTCATCTCACAGAAACAGATACGTTAATGTAAAAAGCCCAGATCCATCAAACAGAGTGAAAAAGGTTCAGTGCACAGGAGCTACTGCATAAATACCATCGTGTCGATTCCTCAGGAGGATCTGATTTGATATAAACTGAGTATTAACACGATTATTCACAATTTAAAGTGTCCTCCTGCAGTGGTAACACATTAAACACCACTTACATCAACAACACCAGAGATTATTATGAAGTACGTCACAGAAGCACTGTTCAGGGTGAAAAACAAACATTCCTCCAGGTTTTCACTGACAGAAGACGGAGCTGGCTTACTGCCAAACAGTAACACTACCTTAACACACACACACACACACACACACACACACATATACATACCCATCATCATGGCACGGCGATTGACCCAGGAGGCCAGGAAAGAGGATTCTCCCATCAAAGGGATCCCTTTCTCCTGCAACAGCAAAAACACAACAGAAACCTGAAGTT